ACTTGCTAATGAATATGATCAGAGAGGGGAGCCCTATTTGGCTACCCTAGGAGTACTCACGGTATCTCCCAGCTTTTGAAGAGTTCATCTGAGAGAGGACGAGTCAAGGTGGGGATGGGGATGTACTTATCTCAAGAAGTACAAGAAGATATATCAGCTAGCTCGGAAGTCCTACAGTGCATATTACAGTGGGGGGGCGGTGCCATCGAATTGAGTGGTTACTGAGGAACCGTCGAGTTACAAGATTTTTGTCTAAGTAACAGCCCGAGACTGACGGAAAATAGGTGGCGTTAGGGAGCACTAAACTCGAAGTGGAGGAGGCCCATCGTATAAGGCACGCGGGGGTGTCTCTCTTATATAACACGGGTGCTCAAATTTTTTAGGCTCACGAAAATATTCCAGATTAACTCGAGAGTTGCGAGCCTTAGAAAACCAACAGGAGCAGGAATAAAATCGAGTGATATGGCGGAGCAATCTCCCTTACTCACCGACTCTAAGACTCTGTTGCCCAGCATATACCATTGACGTTCGAGCAGCAGCTACGGCAGGGTCAACCGTCCTGTTCGAACTGTTCGAACGAAGGGGTCGCATTTTGGTCGGAAGGGGGTCGCAATTTCGAGGACTGCCAGCCACAGGCGCGTGCGTGGCGTATCCGAGGGCAAGAATTGTTTGTGCAGACCGCATTAGATTCGATTAATTATGCACAGAGAGACAGTTTTAGGCAAATTACGGTGTTTTCCTTGAGGAATAGAGAACAGTTGAATGCATCTCCATGAAAAGTTTGACTTCTTGTGGCTGAAATTGAACTTCTTCGGGAACCTACTTTTCTACGGACGGTTCTTCCACAAAATCGTGAAACACATAAGAAAGAAGAAACCTCGCGGTCTTCAAAAATGTCTTCGCCTCTTTCCAACATGCTCTTTGAAGGAAGTTATTATTGCTGAAAGCTCGAAACCTCGCATGTGCTGCTCAAAAACCTATGGGATCCAAATGTTCGAACGTGGGATTTTCTCGAAAAATGAACTTTGAAAAATGGTTTAGGGCTTATTAGAAAGAGCAAAACCTGCTCTTTCACCCCATGGAAAGAGGGAAACACAGCAATCAAAAATGAAGTGAGTTATAGTCGCTGAAAGCTTAAAAACTCGGTTTTGCACGGGAACTGTTCGAACGGGGCAAATTTTTGAAAAAGGGGACAATCACTTAACTTTTTATAATCTTTTGTTAGAGAAATATTTGAAGTTTCTAAAACTTTTCACAAATTTCCAAAATGTCGCATACGAAAGATTTTATGGGCTCTCAAAGTTGGAGGTGCGCCTTCTCAGAATTTTGGGTTTTCCGCTTCTGACAGAAATACTTTTGGGAGAGTTAGGTCATCCTTGCAATTTTCTGTAAAGCCACCTCAGGCACAGTTTAAACCTACCTCAATAAGTGAAACAAATACGTCTCAAGAAAGTTACACTCTCCTAAAACTTTTTCTTCGCCGCGTCCCAGTTTTCCAGCGTCCGGGTGATACCTGCCGCGCTCCAAGGTTGACGCCGCAACGCAAACGCTTTCTGCGGCGGTTTCTGACGCAATCATGTCAGTCCTACTCTTCTTTAATCCTTCCTCTTTTTTCAGCTGTTTGAGCAGAAGTTCGTCAGTCTTCATGTTACTTGTTGGATATCCCTCCATTTGGTCTTACACATTTCGCTTTCATCCTCATTTTGGCGTGATTGTGAGCGAACAAAAATTTTGATCTCGCGAGGCTAACCATCCATTTGGTCTTACACATTTCGCTTTCATCCTCATTTTGGCGTGATTGTGAGCGAACAAAAATTTTGATCTCGCGAGGCTAACCATAAAAAATAGCTTTCATTAGCCAGTGCCCTGTGATTCTTGCTCCTTTGGGGCTCATCTTAGGAGATGCATTGATGGAGAACGTAACTCTCTTTGATTTACTCCCTTGAACTGCTCTTGTGATTCTTTCGGAAGCATGAAGTTTGAAGTTTTGGGCAACATGAAAAAAATATTGAATTTTTTTCAGAAATTCAATGATTTTTTGAAAACAATTCAATTCAAATTTCAGTGAAGATCTCAATATTCAAATGTTCTGTTCATATTTCATGGAAGTTCATTGTCCATTTGAAAACAATGAACTTACGAACTTACGAACACAACATTTGAATATTGAATTCTTTACTGAACATTTGAATTGAATTTTTTTCAAAAAATCATTGAATTTTTGAAAAAAATTCAATGATTTTTTGAAAAGAATTCAATTCAAATGCCAGTGAAGAATTCAATATTCAAATGTTTTGTTCTATGTCATGGAAGTTCATTGTCTTTAAAAGGTTTTAGTTCACTGTCTTTGAAGTAAAATGAGTGAAATAAATATTTCACTTAACATTTAGTCAGCACATTCGGCACTTCCATTACCTAAGAGGGGGTCGCAACTGGACCCCCTTGAGATAAGGGGGTGACCCCCTTGAGAAAAGGGGGTCGCAAAAACCCTGAAAATGTTCGAACGTGACGGTTGACCCTGGTCAAGGCCCGCCCCATGGATGCAGCGGTCCTAAACTGGGCAGAGTTCCCCAAAACTCCTTCATAATTCGGTTTCTTACCAGTAATGGATAATCCTTTGAAAATCTGAATGTGCGTAACTGGGCGATTTGAATTCTTCTTAAGGTGTTAAAAAATCCAGATTGTTGTTATAGGCCATTCCGTGGTCGAATACCGTAATCCAACTACGAAAACTTCGACACCATCGTTAGTGTACGTGGGTGCAGGGGTGATGGAGATGCAGACATCGAATTCATGTACATTTTTTATGAACGATAAGCTATTGCCACTCTTTGCACCAGCTCACTATCAAATCAATGACTTCTTGCAGCTTCGAAGAATCACTCGAGTGTCAACAGTTGATAAATTTTCATGTCGTCTGCGTACAAGAAGTTGGAATGGGGTACCCCCCAGGAGGCCCATCGCGCGGCAAGAAGGCAGAGTCGGCGGACGAGTCGCAGCGCGTGATGTGCGATGAAGGACGTGCAATGGGACATTCTATTTAACTTGACGCGAAATCCCTAATACGCGCGCGACTCGTCCGCTGACTCGGCCTTCTTGCCGCGCGACGGGCCTCCTGGGGGGGGGGGTACCCTGGAATGGGAAAAGTGAAAAGTTGTGCGTAAAAAAGGCGGTGACAGTACTCTGAATTGCAACAAATCACTTGCTACCTGTCTAATATCGGAAAATGGTTGATCTATGCTAACCAGGAACGTCGTGCCCCTCAAAAAACTGGAAAACCATTTCACAACACAGGATGAAATCTGAGAGAAAATCTTATA